TTCTCTGGGCAACCTGGGCCACTGCCTCCACCCAGGTAGCCCCCAGGTAGAAGAACAAGTCTGTGTCCCCACCGTGGTGCTGAGCTTGCCCCTCTTTTGCAGGCGAGAGGTGGTACAAGCGGCACCTGACGTACCGGGTGGTGAACTGGCCGTCCTACCTGCCGCAGCACGAGGTGCGCTTGGCCGTCAAAGCCGCCTTCGAGCTCTGGAGCAACGTGTCTTCGCTGGTATTTTGGGAGGTGCAGGATGGCCCAGCCGACATCCGCTTGACCTTCTTCCATGGGGACCACAATGATGGACTCAACAACGCCTTCGATGGACCAGGTGCTGGTCACTTCCCCCTTGTAAGCTTCTCTTTTACAACGTGGGCTCTTCCCTGGCAGGGAGGAGGGCTGGGGCGGCCACGGGCTGGGGTGATGGAGGTGAGGCTCTGCCCTGGCAGTCCTTCTTAATGAGGACATCTCCCAGTTTGCACCAGTTTGCTTTCTGATTTGGGGTCCTCACTCCCAATTCTGCAACTGGGGTCTGCCAGTGAGGTGGTTGAGAAGGTCGTGATAGGATCATGCTGATGGCCTTCCAGGAGCCCTCCCCACCCTGACGGCATCCTCCAAACTTGAGCTCATTCCTTCCAGCTGAGCCTTTCTGCACGGTGCTATCAGACATGCTCAGGCTTTCTCTCTCCTTGAGCCTTTGCCCAGCATGGGTCACGGCAGCGGCTCTAGTCCCTGGCTTCAGCCCAGGGCAAGAAACCAAACTCATAAACCACAGAGTAGACAACCCCCCCCCAGCACTCAGGAGTGAAGGCGGAACTGGTTTGGGTTGCACTCGTGGTGGGAAGCTGCTGTTCTTGCTCAGGAGACCTCCTGAATAGCTGAAATTGGTGCATATTTAAGCAAACCAGAGCTGCATGTGCTCCCCTCACCCCTCCTTGGCTTGCAGGCAAGGTCCCCTCCTGCCCCCCTCCATCCATGATGGCTCTTGTGTCCCCAGGAGGTGCCTTGGCTCACGCCTTCTTCCCCCGGCGCGGAGAAGCCCACTTTGACAGCGCCGAGCGCTGGTCCCTGCGCAGCGGCAAAGGGCGCAACCTCTTCGTCGTGGTGGCCCACGAGGTGGGTCACACGCTGGGGCTGGAGCACTCCCCCGTCAAGAGCGCCCTGATGTCTCCTTACTACAAGAAGCTCAGCAAGGATTTTGTCCTCAGCTGGGATGACATCTTGGCTGTCCAGAATTTGTACGGTGAGCTTCCCCGAGCATCCCTGGGTTCCTCCAGGGCTGTTCCCTGGGATGGAGAGTGAGGAGCAGGGATGGGAGCAGGGACGGGAGCAGGTCCCTGCAAGGGGAGAGGACTACGAGCAAGGGGTATGGTGGGGAAGGGCCCTGTACCTTGGTGGTTGGGGAGGAAGATGCCGTGGGGCACGTGGGATGGGTCCCAGCTCCTCCAGGGCAGGGATGGTTGGACTTGCCTCCTGCTTGTTTGCAACTAGGGAAATGTTGGTGCATGGTTTTTGGGGGCTCCAAAGGGTCTTTGCCACTACCAGAGAGAGGGGAATGGGAACCAGACTGTGGGACAAGGAGTGTTGGGAGCCCTGGGAGGCTCCCCAGCCCTGTTCCCACGCAGTGCTCTGGGGAAAGCCACGTCCCTGCCCCTTCTCTGTGACTCACCAGCCCTTGCTCCATCCTAGGGAAGCCCTCCAAGGGCTTGGCCATCCAGCTCCCAGGAAAGGTCTTCACTCACTTCCAGGACTGGAGTTCGGACCTTTCCGGCAGGGACCGGCAGCAGCGGAGCCTCAGCGCCTATTACTGCCACTCCTTCTTCGACGCCATCACTGCTGGTGGGTGTTGGCCGGTGCAGCCCGCTCCCGAAACACACCCCCCCGGCCCTTGCCCCACCACTGCGGGATGAGTTCCAGCGGTGGGAAGGGTGGGTTTGGCTGGTCCACAGCCCCATGAGTGCTCCCGGCGCTGGTGGCATCACTGATGCCCAACGCTGATGTAGAGTGGAGCATCTTGAGGACCCAGCAATGGGTTGGGGTGTTGAGAGAGTGGGAGACATCCTAAAACTTGGGCTGGGACAAGGATTATTCACTGTGGGAGCTCAGCCAGGAAAGGTCGTTAGTGGTTAGGTGGTGTTGGGTTGATGGTTGGACTTGATGATCCTTGAGGTCTTTTCCAACCTTCATGACTCTAGGATTCTGTGATTCTATGAAAACCTGAGTGTCCCCGAAGCCCCTGAAATCTGTACGGGGAGGAGAGGGGAAGCGGGGAGTGGTGGCTGGGAGGTGGGATGAGGTTTCTCACCCAGGACCCCCCCTCACTCTGCCCCACAGCCGCGGATCACACCCTCTACATCTTCAGGGCCAGCCACTACTGGTTGGTGCCGGCGGGCGGCAATGCCAGCGACCCGCAGCCCCTGCAGACACGCTGGCCTGGCCTCCCCACCGGCATCGACGCTTGCGCCTGGTCCCAGCTCAGCGGCAAGTTTTACTTCTTCAAAGGTAGGTGAGGCACCAGCTGTCCCGGAGGGGCTGGAGAATCCTGGCCATGTCCCCTGTCCCCAATTGCTGGTCCCATCCCAGTGCAGAGCTGGGGCATCGCTGGGTCCTGGCTCTGCTAAAACCCGCCGGAGCCCTGGGTTAGCCGTATGGCCTTGGGTGTATCCCGCATCCCCCCCTCGTGCCTCAGTTTCCCCATTCGCCCATCCAGGAGAGCAGCGCTCACCCGTGTTTGGAAAGAAAACAAGACACATCCAATCCTTTGGGGTCTTTGGGGGGAATGCATCCCCACGGATGCGTGGCCACGGGGGAGCTGGGACAAATGCGGCGTTTTTGTGGTTCCCTGAATGGGTCTGGGGACTGAGCGGCCGTGGGGAGCTGAAATGCCATTTGCACGCTGTCCGGCAGCACGCCACAGCCGGGTGGGTAGGGGAAGGTCAAACCAGGCAGCCCGGCTGCCAGGGTCAGCCCCAGCTTTTAATGGAAACCAGTCGCCGGCTCTGCAGAAAGGGGCTTTGTTGCTGCAGCTGGGGAAGAGCCAGCAGCCCCTCGCCCTCCCCAGCCCTCGGCCGCTCCCTCCCTCCCTCCCCGGGGCTGGGTCAGGCTGGGGCTTGTGAGCAGAAAGGGGCTTTTGTCTGCCTGCTTCGTGGGGACGGGGCTCTGTGGGGACAGGGCTCTG